TGTGCTTCTCTGAGGCCTTGGGGTCTCTGTGGTCAGCAGCGCCTCCGAGGAAGGACCCTGACAGCCTGACAGGTCCACTGTAGGATAGCGGCTGGTTGGACGAGATGCTAAACAGAGGGTCAGAGACAGCAGAGACAAGGTGTGTGTGTGTGTGTGGGTGCCGAGGCGCTGGACGGTGGATGGTTTGATGGATCGTGGGTGGATGGCGGCGGACATGAGGACGACAAAAGAATGCCGGGATTTTCCCATGACGAGGCAGTGGACGTGGACCCTGCGGAAGCGGCCCTGGTCTCCTGTGCTGTTCCTGTTCCTGCCCTGCTGCTAAGCCCGGGACTCTCACTCCAGGCTGACTTGCTGAGCGCCGCAGGCGGAGGTTCCCCTGCCAGTGCCTGCCGTGTCTTCCTTGCCCATTTATTGTAGGTATTTTGGGTGCAGCAGGGAGGAGCAGCAGCAGCAGCTGTCACTGTCGGTGGTGTCGGGTAGGTCTCGCGAGCCACGTCAGGTACCGCCGTACCTATTGTGCTGTGTACCACCCGGGTTCCTGCCGGAGCGCGTGTTAAATCACTCACCCAAACGCTGGCCAATCGTTGGGTCTTGTCGATGGCCACGGTCATCCTCCGGCAGAGATATCTCGAGGCATAACTCATGTACTCTCGTAACAGCTTCTAGTGGGAATCAACCAACAGGGTGACTGTTGTGTCTGCATCCACCGATCTGCTGCTGCTGCTGCTTTCTACTTGCCGAGGCATTTGTACCAAGACTGCCGCTGCTTGCTTGAATGCCTGCAGCATCGTCATCATCACCAAGGCTGTGGTGATGAACAGATCTGAGCCAAACAGCGGCTCAGCATCCATAACCTAAACGGAAGCCGCAGCCGCAACTCCAGCCACGAAGCACCTGGCTTCCCAGTGGCGGGCGAGCCTGCGGCCAGCAGGAGCCAGCCTGGCGGGTTCTCCAATGGTGCCTGTGACTTGAATCCCATCTCAGCAAATTTGCTCCGCAATAAGCAAAATGCCTGCTGGCGGTAAGGCCTGTGGACAGTTTCAATCATGATAGTCACAGCCAAGAAGCGGCCAAGGACTGCAAATGACTTGGTGTTAGTCTTCAGAAACAGACCTGACCCTTACGGTCTGAGGTAAGAAGATCCAAATCACAAATTGGTAGGTATCCGTAATGCTGTCAGGTCAAAACACTGCACAGGTTGTGTCGGTGCTCGCCTCCATTCATCCCCCCCAAGCCCGTCGAGCGGAAACACGGGCAGAAACACGGGAATACGGATACCTCCACGGTCAGGAAAAGCGCACGGCCGGGATGACGATGGGTTCGGTTTCCCCAAACAAGCAGCGCCATCGTCATGGGCGGGTTAGCAGGCCCGGCATGGATGTGCATGTGGATGCATGCGCGGATGCGGAAGCAGCCCTTGGACAGGTACCGTGAATAAGACGGTCACTCACTCGTGTCGACGACCAACGAAGAGATGGACCCCTCCCCAAAAATCAGTTGGCTGACGACCAGGTTTTCTGACTTGTGATGAGGCGAGGCGACTGAGGAACGAAACGAGGCAGAGAAGGCACGAGGGCAGGAGAAAACCCCAGATGACGCTGCGCGCTAGAGCAGATACGCGAGGGCAAAGTTCCCCATTCGCATTTCCTTTTCTCCAGAATCAGCAAGACAGCCAGGCAGGATATGGAACCATGAAGGATGATTTCCAGGAAGGCCGAGCATGGCATCATCCACCCCACAAAGAGGGAGACATCTTATTCGCCCGTCTTGTGAAGGAATCGAGTCGGAGTCGGGAAACCCCCATGCAATGCGATGCAGCCCCCCTGGGGGGGGTCTTGTCTGTCTTTGTCTCTCCCACTTTGCAGAAAGGCAGCGACTGGATTGGCCTGGGCCAGGCTTGACGGGGGTTGACGATGGCGGTCACGCATGTTGGGTCTCGCGCTCGCCCACCTACGCCCCTCCCCAAATACGCGCAGGCGAGGGGATGGTGATTCAGACACTACGGATGGAGCTGGAGCTGGAACTGACTTGGAAGTTGGCCTGTTGCTTGCTTTCGATGCTGGTCAGTGCCAATACCAAATGTCATTAATAGTAGTAGTGTATGATAGTGCTTCGAGTAATGCCAACACCACAAAAGCTATGTATGGCAGTTGTCGTTACAGATACATGTGCATGTTGTACGTACTAGATTGGCTAACAGATATAGATATGCAAAGTCGCAGTAGTATTTCGCCAATTCCGTGACATGAACACCGCTAGTAGACGAGAAAGAAGGTCGATATCTGAGGCGTCCGAGTCGTTGGTGCAGGCCGTTGCGATCGACAGTGTCAACAACGAGACTAGCAGTAGCAGGAGCCGGTCACTGCCGTAGTTGGACGTGGTTTCGATCTTCTCTCGGGACTTCCATGCTTCTCGGGGTATTCTCACCCTGTTGCTGTCCCTGGCATGATGTGCGGTTTCTTCAGTGACTGTCCTTCGAACAATGGTATTTTGTCAGTTATCGCCTCGGATGGGACCGGTCAGGTCAGCAACATGGTGACAATGACGGTGGTGGGAGCGTGTTGTGCTGCGGCATCGCCATCAGAAGCCAGTGGAGGACCCAGGGACCCCGACTTCGGGGTCCCGTCGAGAGGCACGCACCTCAGCAGTGGAAGCGCCTAATGCGTGTAGGATGTGCTGGGCGGCCGTCTGATGTCTGAATTGTGCCCTGTCTGGGCTGAAATGCTGTGCTGTGTACGGCGTATTGGCTGCGGCACAAGAGAGGATACCCTTACGCAGTGTTGAGTTGATTGACGGGCAGCCCAGGCAGGGCAAGGGCAGGGCTCATCGGTGCAAGTGGACGACCAGTGGAGTGGATCCCCAGATACCCACCGTGGAGGACCCGCCTTTTCTTCGTCCCAGCCCAGGGCAGGGCAAGTGCAGGTGCAGGTGCAGGTCGCGGTGCAGTGTCGTGTTCGGTGCAGCAAGATGGAGGAGATTGAGCGGGTGCAAGTGCCAAGTGTCAGTGTGAGAGACGGGAGTGTGTCGTTGTTGGTGGTCACTGGTGGTGGTGCAGCAGGTGCGAATACTCGCTCAAATCCAAAGCCTGTGTCTTGTGTCTTTCTTGGCTGCGCGCTGTCTTGGCAGCAGCTCTCGCAAATTCTAGACGGGCATTGGACACTCTGAGATTGATACTGGAATGGACGAGGCTTGGCTCTCGGCACCAAATCCAAAATGTCTTTTTTTGCTTCGATGCCATCGTTGTCTGCCAATCTGCCTTCCCTCAGGTTACCTAGGTATGTGAAGGTAAGGTACATATCGTTCTCACCTGTGATCCCTCCGCGGAATCGCAGCAGCAACAACAGACAGACAGACTATCAAGGGAAAGTGAAGCAGGCCGCCACTTGTAAAGTGAGAGCGCACCGCATCCACTCCTCCAACTCCGTCTTGGCCAGTCAAGTCCATTTGTTGCCTCCAGTGTCTCCTCCCCCCCAAACCACCACATCCACCAATCCACCGTTTCCCCCAATCCCCATCGCCGCCCATCCACAATCCCCAATCACTCCAAAGTCATCCCGGCTGGCCCTGATTTCCCGGGTACCTTTCGCAGTACGCAGTACGTACGACGGTACTCTCGCTCGCTCGCTCCCTTCCCACCCAGACAGACTGGAGACAGACGCCTTCCCGGAACCAGCCCAGTATCGTCCAGTAGTACTCAGTACCGTACCCAATATTTCATAGAGTCCAGTGTCCCCAGGCCTACCACCTAAATAAAACCCACTTTCACACAGTTCTATGTACCGCTTTTTGTCTCTCACACCCGTCCCGCGGAAAATACCTTACAGCTAGCTAGACCACTCTACGACTTCAGATTTTTTTCCAACACACACCCCTCAGGACCTGGTCCCTCCTCCCCTCCCCCCCTCTCTAAGCGCAGCACCGGCAGCGGGGGGTTCTTGCTCAAGCTTGTCTTCATCCAAATCGAGAAACCGCTGCCCCCCTTCTCGTTCTCTCGCGAAGGTGCCCCTCGACGATTCAAAACTGACAGCCTTCCCACCACCCGCGCCGCCAAGCTGATTCCAGAAAAATGGACGCCTGAATATTATCACGCCCATTCCCTCCTCTCTACCCATTACCTCGTTTCCCTCTCTTCTGACCTAACGCTCTCCTAATATTACTTCCAAAGACCTTCAAACTCTTACCTCATCGCCGAACCGGACTCCGACTTCTCTGATCGTTGCTTCTCACCTTCAAGTACATCACCAAAGAAGTCGGCGTTCCTCTTCTCTACATATACCTCGACGGCAACCCCTCCAAAGAAGCACAATCCTCGCAGACTTCCCCAGACGAGCTTCCCGGGTTGTTTGCTTCTTCAACACTGCAATCCTGCAGACGCTCGCGTGCTCACCCTTCGTTGGACTGCGCTTACACACACCCGGGCAAAAGGTTCGATTTGTCTGCAAGAAGCAACACCGTGAAAAAGCCGCAACAACCGTTTGGTTCGATCAGAAACACAAAAAAAAAACTGGCGGAGTCTGTCACCCACGCGATACAAGCACCCAAACACCTCTACAGCCACGAGCAATGGGATAAAGCTTAACGGAATTCAACTCCGTTGTCGTTTCGTCGTCTTCTTCTTTTTTCCTCCCTCGCCCTCACTTCTCTTGGCCTCCAAGGCTTATCACCCTCGCGAACTCGCCTTGGCCGAACACACGACCCGACTTATCGATTCGCTCACGTTGTCGCACCAAGACCGATAATTGGGGGGAGTCTGTCACCACTCCGCCCACTGGCCACATTCTCTGCTACCGCCTACCTACCCCTCGGTAACGCCGTGGAAGTACCTAAACCCATTCTTAGCGACAAAAACGACACCGGTACCGACACCAAGCATTTCTCCTGGTGGTGTGCTGCCCAATTACGTATTGGTCCATACCTGATTGCACCCAGCACTTCGCCCTCAGCTGTCTTGTCATCCTGCACACCGGACCCAAGCCGACCCGACAGGCGCTCCAACAATGGCAACCGTCATGTCCAGCAGCAACGTGCCTAGCATGGCAGTGTCCCAACCCCAGCCCATCCCCCAAGGTACGTTTCGCTGGTCACTGCACCCCCCAAAACCCAATGCCATGCCCCCTTCCCCCCCTGTTTCTCACTGTCAAAGCCCTTCCGTCATTGAGCTGCCGTTTCCAATTCGCCCTGTTTCCGTCCACCGCATCCCTGGCAATAGCCGCTAACAACGCTTGCGACTCCAGTCAAGCAGCCTTCTGCCCATCAACAAAACAGCAGCCTGTCTTCGTCTCCTCGTCAATTTCCCTCAGACCTCACTTCTCCCATCCTCGAAGCCGATGAATCCGAAAGCGAGTCCCCCAATGAACCTGTGACCCCCATTAGCAGCGGGCGACAGTCGCAAGAGTTCACCACCCGTCCTAGTCAGGACCACGACCTTCACCAGGCCCAGACCACCCCTAAGCCTCTGCTGGTCAACACCGCTGCCACACCTTCGGCCACGACACTGAAGCCCGCTAACTCGGAACTCCAAGCCCCATCATCAGCTCCTGCTGCTGACCAAGAACCGCCACCGACTCCGCTGTCCAGGCGGCCCACCCGAGGCTCTACTTCAAGCTTTAAGCGGACCATGTCCAACATCTTCCGGAGATCCAACTCGTCGCTGACTAGACCGGATTTCGGCTTCACCACTGACCAGCTGGCTGGCGCTTCAGAGAGTGCCTTGGTTGATACCCAGCCTCCTAAGAGCAGCGGAAGACGGCCCTCCATGAACACATCACACAACACAACGAGGTCCAACTCGCCTCCTTCACCGGGCTCCCCCGTCGACCATCCCGCCTCCTATAAAGAGTCTTCCCACATGCCTACCTCGGATGACTTCAACAAGAAGAAGAACAGGGCGTCCACCGGCCTTTCTCTTCGCGGACGCGCCGTCAACTTTGTCAACGCCAACGTTCCCGGGCGCGAGAAGCATGCGTACAAAGTGCACACAGTCCGGCGCCGCGCCAGCAGCTTCGACGATGTCCCTCGACAGAGTCCCTCAACAAATTACCGTATCAACGCAAACTCAGCCGTGCTCCCTCTCGACCACAACACCCCGTGGGCGCAACTCCCCGACACCGGTGTTGGTGTGAAGGCTCGCCGTCTGAGCATCTCTCTTCCCGATGACCTTCAGGTCGACGTCGCCGAGCTTGCGTCCGAGTTTGAGTACTTGTCCAAGTTTGGCCGCCATGGCAAGCATCTCGGCAAGGGTGCCACATCAAAGGTCACATTGATGTGCCGAAAAGGATGCCCTGGCGAGCTGTACGCCGTCAAGGAATTCCGCGCCAAGCAGAAGTCTGACGACACACCGACTTACGAGAAGAAGATCAAGTCCGAGTTTACCATCAGCAAGAGCTTGCATCACCCCAATATCGTTGAGTCCATCAGACTCTGCACCGACCATGGCCGTTGGAACCACGTCATGGAATACTGCGCGGCCGGCGATCTCTTCTCTCTCCTCGAGAAGAAGTACTTGATAGAAGAAGACCGTCTCAACGACCGCCTATGCTTATTCAAGCAGGTCATCCAAGGCATCAACTATCTCCACAGCAACGGCATCGCTCATCGCGATATCAAGCCCGAGAACCTCCTCATTACCCAGGACAGCAAGCTCAAGATTACCGACTTTGGCGCCTCAGAAGTCTTCAACGGCAGCCACCCAGGCTATCGAGAATCAGGCGGACAGTGTGGCAAGAACATGAAGACCGACATTGAGCTGTGCAAACCTGGTGTCGTGGGCAGTGAGCCGTTTACGGCGCCAGAGGTGCTGGCCAAGGACTGCGAATACGACCCTCGCTGCGTTGACGTGTGGTCTGCCGGTGTCATCGGCATTTACCTTTGCTTCGGCGGCGGATTGTGGAAGAAGGCCGAAAGGAAGCCTTCAGAAGAGTGGTACATCAAGCTCTGCGAGGCCTGGGAGAAATGGTACAGAAGAAACCCCGAACCCGACGCAAAGGTCACAGAATCGAGCTACCCGGCCTACCTTCCCTTTGACACATCACTCAAGCCACCCGCCTTCCGCCGCGTCTTGCTCAAGATGCTCAACCCTGACCCCAAGAAGCGGGCTACGATTACCGAGATCATGAACCATCGCTGGGTCAAGACCATCGAGTGCTGCCAGCTGGAGACGTATGACGATCCGGCGACCATGATCGATGCGTCCAAGAAGAACGATGCCAAGCTGGTCAAGAAGGTTTTCTGCCACAACCACCTGCCGCTTGTGAGCCATGGACATTCCCTGGGAAAGATGCCTGGCCAGGCTGGGTATTGACTTATATACTCTGCCACGAATGTACGAATTATCACATGTTGGATCTGCATAGCTGCGATCTTCCTCTTTGGCGTCGGTTCTCTTTCATGAACCCGCGGGAAGATACGCTCTCAACATACACGGCGTTACAAGGGTTCTTGGAACAATCCTGGACGGGTGGCCTTTTTTATTTCACTTGGATGGAATACATCAATAATCGTTTTTGGCACCATGGGCTACGAGCCTTTTCATGCCACAAAGATTTGTGCACACATGCGACCCGGACTGAAGGTCTTTGGGAGGTCTTTGGGACTCCATGTGCTGCAGCCGTACATAATCGATTCTTTACTTTAGTAAAGGCGCGCGCAAGAAGTCTGCAGTGACAGGCACGCGAAGAAGGAGACGTGTTGAAACAAACACTAGTATAGCTTCCATGGCATAGACAAAAGTCAAATAAATCCAAAGAGAATTACAGAACAAAACCATGATGCAATCAATTTCCCATATGTTGAGAAGTCATGTCTTCCATTGGCTCTATTCCTGGCTGTCTGCCTCTCAACAACTGCCAACCTGGTTTCGGTACCCCATACTTGCAATGATGGCCGCCATTGCTTCGGGCCCGAGAAGGATTTGCCAAGTTGTGTCGATACGACGTATGTGGCTCTCCAGAAAAGAGGGGGAAGGTGATATTTTCCCCCGCAGCCCAGCCAGGTTAGGTAGGTGAGGTACCTTACACAGACATACCCAGCGATCCGGGGCGAGCAGTACGGAACATGTAGGTATCCGTGACACGACCACGGCCCGGCAAAAATGTCCTGTGTTATCGTGGAGAGGGGGGGAAGGGTAAGCTCGATGGCACTAAACATTCAGCCAAGATGGAAAGGACCGGGCTGGGGAAGTGTTTGTTTGGTAGGCGGCCCAATCAGCCGGAGCTCGGGGGTTAAAGAATGACGATGTACCGAACCCCGATCCAAGCGCTTTCCCTCCTGGTGTCTCTGCCTTTTGGGGAGTCTTGTTATTTCTCGCTTGCTAGTTTTCTAACGGTGTAGATAGACGTTATTTTCCGTCTCTATTCACGGGGGTTATTCGGGATAGGTGGGGAGCTGGCCCTGTGCGTATCTCACGTTGCTCGAAGCTAGCATCTCTCGTTCCGGGGGGCGGGATATGCAGCCATTTGCTTGTTTTTTTGCAATTTCATGGGGGGACTGGATACACGCCCCTCTCTCTCTCTCTCCCGAGCGATTGCTGCTCCTGCTGCTGCCCGTCATTCGGTACTTGCCCGGGACGGTTATATTTCAAGTAACTACGTGGGCAGGCAGAGAGCTACGGCACGTTCGTTGGTAACGACCGGTGTGTTGGCCCTGACCGTCGTCGCATGGGACAGTCGCAGGCCGAGTCCGGTGAGAAGGCAGGCGGGCATGCACGATCATGCGTGGGGTTTGGGGTTGGAGGGTGGAGGGGGGGAGAAAGCTGGCGAGCGATGCAGGAGATGTGAAATGCAGCAAAAGATGGACGCAATGCACACGAGACACACGAGTGATGCGTCTTCTACTGCCTTGTAGCCTGCCCTCTTCCTCGTGTAAAGCAGTCGAGAATGGGGGACCAAGGTAGCGCGCAGTTTTGTTGGTAGCACAGCACCAGCACCAGCACGCGGCGCGATATCTGCATTGCAACGGTGCTGGTCTGCTGCTGCAGTGCTGTTGTGCACTGGTTTGGCGCTTGCTAGAGGCCAACGACCTAGCAAACTCGCTGCTGCTGCTGCTGCTACTGCTGCAGGGTGAACATTTCTAGGTGGTGACAAGCTTTTTGCCGTTTCTTTCGAACTTTTCGATCGACGCGGGACCGAAGAGCTCGATGCCGTCTTGGCACACGGGGAAACCCCGTGTGCTGCCTTTGTCTTGGGAGCGGCGGTGTGGATCACTGGGATGGGATGGAGGGCGAGAGCGATAGGTCCGCGGCGGCGGCGGTTGGGGGAACGTCGCGGCTTGGGGTTCGGGATGCCAAGTCGGGGATGTCGTGCCTATACCTGTCTCCGGTTTTCTAATTCACATGTTCACTCCCTCTTTCCCTCTCTTTTGCTGTTCCCCCACGGATATGTCGGGTTGTGATAGTTAGTAATCCGGACCCTGGTGACGACCTATGGTGGGAATCTGAGGATTTCGAAGGGAAAGTGTAAGCAGCCTCGGACGGGAACGGCTGGGATCTCACTCCCGTCTTTGGGATTTCCAACCTCTCTATCTCTCCCTAACTCGCGAGGCCTCGACTCGGGCCGAAGAAAGGCGAAGGTATTGCTAGCCAAGTTAGGTAGCCCCGAGGAGCTGGGAGCTGGAAAGCCGGCGGCCGGTTTTGAGGCTCGCGTGGTACTATTATTGCTTGATCATGTTAGACTGATCGCAGTCATCGAGTCAAGCTTCTGCCAAGACGGCGGTGGGAAGCGGGTATGTCGGCAAACCTCTGGTGGGAGGCCTGTCAGACTTTGTTGTCATGCGGCGTTGTTCTTTCCAGCGGCGGCGGGGGGGAGTGGGAGTGGGAAGTGGGAAAGGATGGCAAAAGGCTGGACCAAGTACCCCCTTTGGAGGATGCATTAGTTTTTTTGGTTAGGGGGGGCGTCTGGTTTGAGGTGACCACGGCGTCGGGCTGGTGATGGGCGGTTGCATTAGCGGCGTGATTAGTGTTGCTATCTCTCTGACTGTCTCTCTCTTGATCTGCTGCGTGTGGTGTTTTGGGTGGTACGCGTGGCCCTGGCGAATCATGACTATAGCGGTGGGAAGATTGGGGGTCAATTCGCGAGGTATAGCAAGAATGCTATGCGTATTGGGTGGTAATGGGCATGTATTGTGTACCCGGGCTCGTTGAGAGTGTTTACTGTTGTCTAGTTCGTGGGACAAACTGCATATTGCCCACGCTTTTCAGACGCTGTGTGACGAGCGGGGCAGCGTAGGATAGACTGAGGGGAATGTGCGGAAATATAGCGGGCATGTGAAGCGAGGCATGCGGTTGAGGAACAGGAGGCTCTGTTCGGCCAGGCTGGTTGGCTGTGCTGTGCGCGGATGACTGACACCTGAGTCCTGAGAGGGAGCGAGGGCGCGTGGCGTCGGCCGTCCAGTAAGGGGGAGTGAGGCTTCGCGCCGGTCACGGCGCACATACGTCGGCCGCTCCGGGTGCGGAGGCACGGAGGCAGGAGGGCTCCATCCCCGCTTGGTTGGCAGATGTTGTGTCTCTCTCTCGCGGGCGGAGACTAAGCTTGAACCCTGCCGGCTGCCGTTGTCGGGTTTACTGGGCAGGGGGGTTGCGAAGTTGTGTCACCCTGGAGGAGTCTGGCGCTTCCAATCTTGGTTCACCACTTGGCGTGCTTTCGCGAGGCCGAGGTGAGATTAGTTCTCGAGGCATCCATGTATGTTGTGCTGCCAGGGACGAGGTGGCTAGTGGTGGCTGGGGGTGTCATACTTGCCGATGATATGTCGGTTTCGCTGTTGTCGTACTGGATGATTAAAAAGTGAGACCTATCACGCGGAGACGTCCATGACACTAAACAAAGTCATTTCTTTCATCTAGCGTGTGTTTCCTGTCATCTTACATATAACAAAATATCGGGCAAAATCATGAAGGTCCCAAGAACGAATGAGACGTTGAACACGGGCGAAGGAACTATTACCGGGCAACGTGGGATCCAGGTTGTGCTGAGCGAGCCTGATGCTTGTGATCTTTGAAATTTCGTCGGTAAGCCGAGGTATCAAGACTGGATTGATCGACCAACGTAACACAGTGACAACTACGGATCAGTTTTCCCAGGAGTTGGTTTGCACCAATATGTTGAACTTAGAACTATGAACTTTGGCTAACTGTTTGCTTCGACAACTCAAATTACTTCAGTCATCTGTCATTTCATATATGGGAGAAGCTGGTTCATAGCCATGTCGCTTGACACAAAGTCTTGGATACAGGATACTTGAGGAGTTCGTAGCCCATGGTTTCCTCCACGAGTGCATTACATGTTCTTGTGAGAGCTTACAGGTCTTTGTGCGCTGAGGTTATGTTGAAAGCCGTCGCGGAGACAATAGCAGCCAAACGCAACGTTTAAGAGGCAGCGGTCGACTTACAACGATATCAGCTCAGCAAGGGTAGATGACAATTCGTCCTCTGAACCTGAAAACCTGAGTTCATAGGCACAGACTTTTATTCATTATGCAGGCTTGACTTTCATGTGCTGCGGACAAGTTCAGTTTCCTTGTCACCATAACCTAAGATATTTGGAACTGCGTTGAATTTTGTAGGAAACCAGCGTTCGTCAACTTTCTCATAGACTCAAGCGATCTGGCTATTTGCGTCTACTGCCAGTTCCAAAACCAGCCTTATTGTAAAAGCTAGCTACTCGACTGCGCGAGTAGGATTAATGACCGGCTAGGCAAATCTAAACATGGAATATGTTAATTTGGTAAAACATCAAATCAAGACATGCGATGACTTCTTCGCTGCTCGTGCACTGTCCTCTGTCTTCAGATGCAACAACAATTCTATCAGGACTACTCTCGCAGCCAGAGTTCTGATGAAATCGAGATAGATTGGGTAGAGGAATGGTTTGCCGCGGTTTCAATAAGTGGCCAAGTTATTGAAGTAGTAATATCGCAGCGTCAAGAAGAAGTTCAATCTGGTGAGGATTTCATACGGGCTCTTTCAGGCCGCCGCAGATCGTTGTCTCGATGCTCATCACCAAGCCTGTTGGAAGTTTTCGGAGCTGGACCTTGGCCCTGCTGCTTCATCTCGTAGACTCCAGAACCTACACTGAGATGAATGCCGTCTTGTAATATGAAATCATCAGCCTTGCTCTTTAAGGCTGGTGGAAATCTGTGTATAGAATTCAAAACAGCATGATTGAGCTACAGCCCATGGAACAAGAGCAATGCACGTAGTTTACCTAGGTGCCGCGTGACAGAAGGGGCCACAAAGACAAACAGCTATTGAGACTTAAGCCTAAGAGAAACCTGGCTGATCATAAGAAAGGTACTGTTTTTTAAAATCGTGATGCTTTCATGGACATATTGACTAGGTGATCTCGGCAGGTCTTCTATATCTGTCTGTGGCTTCTACGACATTAACGGCTTATATGAACCAGAGCCCAAAGATCAGTGTATAGAAAGAAGCTAAGCAATCGAAATTACAAGATGTAATGACATGCTGACTACATGGTTAATGTCGTATGAACATGCAAAGCCATGCGCATGCGCTATCGAGGCAGATAGGAGTTGCGCAAGATGAAGTTTCTCGCTGTGCAGAGGGCTCTCGATCTCTACCAAAACGCCAAGTCCCTGGACCAAAATGAGAGAGAAAGTAAGCTCTGGCCCCGAACTACATCACCGTCTTCCAGAAACCCCATCCGTCGCCCGGCTCCATCCCCATCATCGACCCCCACCCGAATATGAAGCCGCATCCACCCTCCGCCCCTCACCGATCCCAGCATCGCCAGGATCATCCAACCAGCGCCGATGGTTTAGTGGTAAAATTCTCCGTTGCCATCAAGCAGCGTCGGGGAGCCGGGGGTCCGATTCCCCCTCGGCGCAACTTTTTGGTTTGGTTACTTGGGTTGGCGGTTGTGGGTGTTAGGATGTTGGCTTTTTGGTTTTCTTCGTCCCTGAACTGAGGTCAGTCAGTCAGTCTTTCAGATGAAAATTCGCGTGGGGCGAGAGTCACTCTGAAGTGCCCCAACGGAAAGAACGAACGGCAGCGTACAGTTCTTGGTTGTGTAGACTTGAGCTGGGTTGTTCTACGCGGTTAGCTAGACTCTGAGCGCCGTGATAACTTTCCGCTACGGCCCGCGAGGCTACGGGAAGAGATCTTTCCGCGTTGAAGCGAGTTCTCAGCATGAGTAGAAGTAGATACGAGACGTCTTAGGCTGCATTGGCTATGTATATGCAATGAAGGCAGTCCTGTTCGTCAAGCTAAATGATCAGATAAAGACGGCTAAACAGATGCAATTCAAACATACAGGATATTGCATCCATGAAGTGCACGTTGAAATTTGTGCGCACATGGCTCAACAACGCTACGAGGTCGCTTAAGTTTGATGTTGCCTCTCTCGGTCGAAACATTAGCAGGCGAGCACTCTATCCGCAAAGCGAAGTTTCTCAAGCGCAGGGCTTCCAGAAGTTTACTGACGGATTATGTGGAATGCCTTTTCGACGTGACCGTATCAGGAATGAAATATCTTTATCTGGGCTTCGCTAGGAAGATAAGTAGTCTCGTGAGAAGAAGACGACCCATGTTTACTGTGGTTACGCGGCTACACATTTCCTACGTGCTGAAAGTACGACCGTGTAGGTGCTTTTAATTCCAAGGAGAACCCAAAGAGAAACTGCGCGTTTGTAGATCGAGGCCAAGTTGTCAATGGTGATAATCTCCATCGTCTGTGGGGGGAAGAATCGAGGAGGCATATAGCGAGGCACCTACAATCTGGCAGCCAACCAAAGAACGTGGCCGTGAGAGAGTCGCTGACAGGTCTAGATGCGGCTCAAGCTCGCCCGATATTTACGATGAATCTCACTTCCCCTGCCTCACACCTCTCTTACTGGACGCTGTGCCCTCCCCATTGCACAATATTGAGACCTAAAAGACGCCACAAGTCACGCAATGCCTACCTATGATCATGAACGAACGAAGACTGGAGTAAAAAAAACATGCCGTAGTGTCTTCTTGACTTTGTAGTCTAATGGAATTCTCGTTATCGCCGTTACCCGTAATCTAACCCCGTGTCCAAATCTGATGATGAAAACCCGCAGTGGTGTGCAAGCCGTGAGGAAACAGACTCCTAACCCAGAACCGTGCCAAAGGGCATTTACACTCCCATCGTGAAATCGTGTTCGATGCCAGGTGTCACACTGGCCATAAACTGCGTTTCTGTTAGCAAACACACCGGCCATGCCCCCAACTTGCGTGATGCGAACCTTCAAGAAAACAACCAGGTACTGATCCACCCGGATAGCAACCTCCTGGTCGTCAACCTCGCTTTGCTCGACCTCCTCCCACTCGTCGTTCTTATCGGCGGTGGCCTGGGCGTCCTTAACATCGAGCTTACCGAGTTCGTCTACGAGACCTTCCATGCCCTGGTCGCCCCCCACGGCCTTGCCGGCCCTCAGCTTCTCACGGCGGATGCGGAGCGCGGCGTCGGCGCGGTCGAGCAGTGTCTTCATGACAGAGGCGTGCTTGCAAGGGTGCACGCTCGCCATCTTGATGTTGTTGGCGAAGAAGGGGAAATCCTCGAGCGTCACCGTCTTATCCTTGTAGTCGCCAACAATATCGTCCATCATCGACTTTGGGGGAAGGGGTTGCCCGTTGGGGTTGTAGCCCGACAGGTAGAGGCGGGGTGTGCGGTAGTAGGCTGAGTACATGATGTAGAGGGTGTATGTTCGGCGACCACTTTTGCAGGTGTCAGCATCACATTGCGACGGTTAACCCCGGGGCAGTCCCTACCTGTTCTTGTTCTCTCCTGCGTCGGGAATGATAGCCTCGTCGTCATCCTCGTCCTCCATGTCCGGAATCTCGTCGTCTTCGACGACCTCCCTCTCGCCGACGTTGCCGGAGTCGTCCACCGTCCGAATCTCCTTCACCTTCAGCGGCTGCGAGCTCGCCAGACCGCCCGTCCGCAGCCAGCCATCCTCGTCGTCGTCACCGCCTCTAGCGCCCTCGACGACGGCCTCCTCGTGTCCCGCGTCGCCAGCAAAGTCATCGTCCAGCCGGCGGTTGCAGGGGACGTTGCGGGTGACGAGATATTGCTTTCCAGGAGGCAGGTAGCTGGCGCGACGGCTGTCGGCGTCGGCGTCGCCCCAGGACCAGGTCGGGAACTTGTAGACGAGGTAGTCGCCCGCTGCGACGAACTCGTCGGGGGTGATCTCGCCCGTCTGGCGGAAGGTCGACTTGTTCGATACCGGGGCGTAGCGGTCGCGCAGGGTGTTTACGGTCGAGTAGAGGAGATTCATTGTTGTTTGCTGCGGGCACGTGGGTGCGTGCGGTGTGTGTTCTGTCGTGCTGTTGCGTTAAAGATGGCGGGGTATGTTGGATAGTCTGTACTCGTTGTGATGCGATGCGATGCGATGCGCGCGGGTCTGTTGCGGTGCTCGGCTCGCGGGGCTGGAGATGTAGTTGGTAAGAGTGAAGTCGGCGTCGCGGCCCGGCTCTCTGTCGTCACCGGAATGATGTAGCCTCTGAGGTTCCGCCTGATGTGATGACTGGGAGTAGAGCTGTGGCAGCTGTTCCGGCCGATCACATGGATGGCGGGGTTGTCTCACGATTGGACAGGGAAGCAGGTGGCGGGGTGACGCCTGCCTAGGGGCTTATCTTATCGGTGCTGGTGGCTCTTTGGTGGTAGGCACCTCAGCTCTTGACTTTGAAATGGAGGTGACGGGATCTCGGAAGACACTGGCGCCATTCATAGTGACTGAGGAGGGGCACGGATCTCATTTGCCAAAAGCCGTTTGAACCGTCTTGAGTGTGCCTCTGCCACCTACGCAGTGTTTTGCGCAGGTGGTGCAGCACAGGCACTTGCCGATCCCGCCTGAAACTCGTGTCTGCTAGCTTTCTTGTTTCTGGGCGTGGGTGTTCTCAAATTCCATTTAGAAATCATGAAGCAAATCGGAACTATGGAGTCAAGGATGCGATGAAAGAGACGGTCATGGAAACTAAATCACAGCCTGCGAGACGATTCTGCACACCTCATGAGTTGGAGAACAATCTGTAGTTTGGAGCTTTGTTGCTGGCGACTGGTTTCAAGGTCAGGTTTGCATATTTACATGGAATGTCTCTCACGCCCAGATTACACTTCTGATGACGCTTTTTGCAAACCTCATTGGTCGACCCTATTTTGGCTAAATAGACACTGGTATCTACGTGGAACTCATTCTTCTTCCTCATCGCTGACCTCTTCACCGGCTTCAATCGCCTCCTGGCGCCTCTTTGCAGCGCGTTCTCTCTTGCGCTCCAACAGCTTCTTCAAGCGCAAGGCAGAGTTGAATACGCCGTTTGTGCCTGCCCCGCAGGCAGCACACGTCGGGTCTTTTCTGTACCTCTTGAGCGCGCATGGCTCGCAAAAGTAATGCCCGCATCTCGTGATGATCGGCGCCTTGTACGCCTCTGTACAGATAATGCACGCGAATGGGATGTTCTCCAGCATCGCGTCCTCCTCATCGTCATCGTCGTTCTCCACGTTGGTCCTGTCCGCGCTCGCTACCACGGTGCCTCCTATGTTCTTCTTGCCCTTTGTGACACTCTCCCATTCCTTATCGAGCTGCCAGCCCGCCTTGTAGTCTTCACGAGCGTGCAGATACTTGCAGTTGTCGCCAAATCCACAGAAACCCGTTTTTTTATAATCTTTGCATGTGTCCGGAGCGAAGTCGGTTACGGTGATGGTTCTGATATTCGTAGGTGCCTTGATGGGCCCTACTGTTCGGCTTGGCGCATCGGGGTTCTTCTGGATGAACGATGTCTGGTTTGCGAGCCCCTTGTATGTTCCGTCAGGCGCTTGCGATGGCCTCGACCGTGCCGAACCAAGAAGGTTCTTTGCGTCGAGCGCGTCCTTGCCGTCCTCGTCATACCAGTTGCTGTGTTTTGTCGCATCATTGCTGTCCGTTATGGGGACATTACGATCGGCTTTGAAGACTGTGGCTGATAGCTCCTGCCTCGAGGCGGCTTGGTCTTTTGAGGATGCGGTAATGGCGCCGGTCTTCTTCCGTCTCTTGATCCTTTGGCCCGTTTCGTCTTCGGAGGAGTAGTCGGAATCGGAGTCGCTGTTGGCGGGTGGTGGCGTGGCGGGCCTCTTGCGGATATTGGCCTTGCCCTTGGCGCCTCTCTTCTTGAATACGGCAACGGGAGCAGCCGCTGCGTCTGCGCCTGCGTCCATGTCTGATGTATCACCTGGACGGGCTCGCTCGTGGGGGTATGTGTATTTGATGAAGGACGGACAGTGTGTATCTCGCCTGCGGGAGATTTTGTCTTCGCTCGCGGTGTGCGTGTGTTTGATGAAGAACGGACAGTATATATCTCGTCTGCCGGAGATTTATCAAGTGGTAATTGGCAAAGGCGGTAGTTGAAATGAAGTTTGGGTGATCCTGGGGCGCTTCTTTAGCTTGGGCGTCGATCGCAAATGATGAACTTCTAGAAGGCTGAAGATCAAGCCACAAGGCTGACAAAGCGCGTGGCTTGAGCTGGGCGACGATGGTGACGGGCGAGGCCAATCAGCTGACGGGCGGGGCAGCTGGAGCTGGGCTGACAGGTCCAAATCAGCGGTATACCAGGGCATGACATGATTGGGCAACAGCGGGGTCATTACGAGAACCTTGCAGGGGTGAGCTTCCACGACCGGCTAGCGCAGACTCATAGCGGAACCACTGGACCAGGCTAAAATTGGCCAAAGTTATGCGGGCAACGGCCAGCAGCCTGCAGGCAAAAACACATCGAGCAGATCGCGTGTCTTTTTTGCTTTGAAGCGATGAGATATGGCGGTATGGATTGGCGGGGGAAGAAGCGAGAGGTGGTGGATGAGTTATGCCTTGCCGACGCCATGCCATGCCATGCGCGATGCGACTGATTGCTTGCATGATGCCGCGCCGCGCTGGGGAAAATTGGCTTGGGGGCGCACCCGCGGGGACGAATAATTCGTACTTTGGAGGTTATCGCTCTATCTACTGCGCAACTTGTTAATGAGGAGGTTGGGAACAAGGTCGCCAGGGTCAAGGGCCGTGTGAGGATGAGGTTGTGTTGTTGAATCTGACCCCCTCGATTGGCTACGGCTCTGGTTGTGGAGGGATAAACAGCTACAAAGAGTGTATGACTCTGAAGGGTAAAAGATGGGACGAACGAGTAAACATTGCCCCTCGATGGTGCATGAAGCCATCGTAAAACACATGCCACTGAAGTCTAGTCAGACTCCCGATAGGTGCTCCGGAGCTTACCTTACCTGAAGAGCGCAGTAGCATGCAGAAGCTGTGCTGCGTGCAGCAGGAGGCGCCCCAGCATCTGACCGTACAGTGCCCTGTACTCATTCTGTGTAAGTGAGGAGGAGAGTGACACCCTGTGCTTGTGCTTGTGCTGCGATCTGATTCCCCAATGCCTGGCTGCAACCGGGTGCGGCGACCCTGCAACTGTCGTCACAGTGGCTTCGCAGTGCCTCGCTGGATGGATCCCCAGAAGCTTTCGCTAAGGCATGCTGAAATTGAAGGCTCCCCAGAAGGGGGTCGAGCTGAGCTGGGGCAGTTGTGGTGATGATGATTATGATGCGCCGGATGGATGACGGCCAGGGGAGTTTGTTGCTTGGTTCTGGGAAGTTGGCTCTGCCCATGCCATCATGCCGTCTTAAGAAGATTCAGGAAGCAATAACGGTTGGCGAGGGGAGCTTTGCACACCAGCTCAATAGCGCTACCGAGGGTCAGGTAGTTGGGTAGCTACGCCATGATCAAGCGTGCGATGGCTTGACGGGAAAGGCGAATTATCGAAAAAGGCACGCAGCGTACTGCGCGAGAGCACACGATGCGTATGTAAGGTACATGCGTTGTCGGCGCATCCCGGCCAGAGTTCATGTACCTGATCCGCCAACACCCACATACTGTAAGGTACCCGAGTTGCACACTTTCACACTTGCACAACTCAAGAGTGGCAGCTCCACGGTGGAACCCTGAAGTGCAGTGACCTGGTCGTGGTTCATTGGAGAGGATGGAGACGTTGCCAACAATCCCAGGCAAGTCGCTGAGAAAACCCTGGGCCAGACAGGCATTCGCAGGCAAATGGGACAGGCTCAGGCTTGGGGCCTAGTTCACAAGCGAACGGGCAGAGAGGAGCTGGCTCTCTCGTCAAAACCTCATGTGCTGGGTCCTGCTCTTTCTGGTCCTGGTCTGGATCCATTCTGCGGTCGAAGAGGAGGAAAACACATTCTCAATATCCCCTCGCGTCTCCTCTCTCTCATTCTTTCTCCTCTTTCCCATTAACCCACGCCTCGCCTCGCCTTACTAACCCCCTTCTCCCTCCTTTCCCTCCCTCCACCCCTCTCTCTGTTTTTCGTGCCGACGCCGACAACCGCGACCGCGTTTCTTTCGTCCCTCACTTCTCTTTACAGACCGCCACTTTGTATTCGTAGTATTTGTATCACGAAGTCGAATTGACGACCGTAATCGGAAACCAACCACGCACAGGACACAGATCAGATCAGATACAAGAGACGTAATAATCTCTTTTCTCTCTGGGCTGTTCATGTCTATGCTGGTTCGGGGCATTTTGTTTTAATTTTACCCTTCTTGTCACCCATCTTTTTTTTTATTTCGTCTTACATCACCTTGCCCTGTACACATTTAGGTGTCGCGTTTACTCCCACCTTCCCTACCTCACCTCACCGCGCGGTACCAACCATCATCCAGCTTGGTCGCCAACCTACAGGTATCTTACCTGCATCTACCCGACCCTACTACCCTCACTACCACCTCCCGTTACCCTTTTTGTTATCTATTATTCTTGTCACTCTTTTTTATCTTTGCGCAAGTCTTTGTCGTCCGCCCACAGCCCACTCCGTCCGCCGCAGCGCACTCTCATTCGTTTCCGACCGATCGACCGACCGACTTGCGACCCTGCGAATACCCAACCAGCGGCCACACAGAGAGAGACACAGAGTCAGTCACCACCTCGCCAATTGGAAAGCTGCAGTCTGCTTGTTGCCCGTCGCCAATCCAACGGCGACCTGTCACTGTCGCTCCCACGCCCACCTGACTCCTCCTCCTCCACCGCCGCCGCTGCGCACACCGTATCGCACTGCATTGCGGGCATCCATCGTACAGCTCAGTGCCGCAATCGCTGGATCTGCAGATAGTCAGCCTTTCCCAGGGACTGACTGAGACTGAGACCTCTGCTCCTCCCGAACACGCCAGATCATTTGATTTTTCTCCCCCTGGCATCGTTCGCCCATCCCAACCGAGACTCCGGGAAACGGCAGACCTTTCCT